ACTACACGGCGGAACAACACAGAAGACAGAAATCTTCATACTCAATACCAATACGTTTTGCTGAATGAACATTTCCGTATCCCAGAGTAACCACTGGCCTTGGATCGGGGAGGCCCATAAAACTCAGATATAAAAGTCAAGATTATTTTGCCCACAGATATTAATTAGGGAACGACAAAAACAGTTACATACAAACCAAAATAAAAATGTCACGATTAAAAAGTGCATTGACGTTCGTAATTATGGGATCGCTCTAGTTTTTCCACCTATCGCCCACTTCCTGTCACACACCAATTTCAGTCATTACGTCAATTGCAATTATTCCCTACTGGAAGGTCGAACTCCACTGCACTGTATTTACAATGGCTTAATGGCAGTCAAAAGGTGACGCAGAACATAAAAACACGATCTGTCTTTCAAATTATTAGTATATTATATTTCCATCTGTTGTCCTGTTCCTTAAAGTGGACTAATAAAATAAAAAATTCTTGCTACGCGCTAAGGACGCCCTTGGGCTGTTGGGGAGGCATTACTCCTACTCATTCTTGACCGCAGCGCTAAGGACAGCAGCGGTACAATCGTATAACAACCAGATAATCAATGTCAGACACCAGAGCCTCCAGTGAGCGCGGCACGAATCACCATGCACAGCAGTTTTCTTAACTACCTAATGGGGTTATGGCGGGCAAACCCGGTAAGGTCGCTGAAGTCTCAGATTAATTAATATAAGGAAGAGTGACGTCGCCTAGCAACTAGATCTGTTGAACGAATAATGTTTTCTTATTGTACAACTTTCGTCCTTGGTAGAGGACATAATACATACCACCCAAAGTCGTACTACAAATGCCAGTGTTTATATCTAAATTCATTTTGTCAAATTATAATTATTTTATTTTCTTTCTCAAATCCAATTGTTATTCTACTGAGGATGTTAAAGAGATTTAAACTGTGACGTCATGAAGTAGATCTTTCGTATCCTACAGGGAGAACATTCGGTTTAACTTACTTCTTACGAATAAGATCATTATCGTGTTTAATTAAATAAAAATAAAAACACTTTAAGGCTAATGGATCCTGTTATTCTTGAATCAATGTCAAATGGCGAAGAATTTTTTAGTTATTTTGCCCGAATTTATAACTTGTGTTGGGCAAGGCCGTGGTTTAGGCAACACGGAGTTTTCCTCCGTTGCATCCCAACAATTACTCCATTCACACTCACACAGAAGAAGGCAATGGCAAACACCTTCTGGATCATCTGCCAAGAACGTATATGAACAGGTCCCAGTCCGAGAAAAGGATGGAAGGATCCTGTTCATATGGACCTGTCGTCAGACAGAACACTAAATAAATAGTTCTTAATGGTTATTATTGTCACATACGGAAGTTTATTAGTTCCTTTAGATGTATAGATGGAAACCTGCAAACAATCAACCGGTTTCCAGCTTAATTCTTTCTGCATAATGGCAGCTACTCTCTGGTTCTGCTGATAAATAATACATACTGTTATATTTTGTGTTTATTACAGGAACACCTTCTGCAGACCATCCAATTCCAGGTTCAGGCTCATCAGTGTCATCTCTCCTTGAGAGACTCACAGCATCATCATCTACCTCAGGGACAAATCCTCCTTCCTCCTTCACACCTCTGCCATCATCGAGTCCTAACGCTCAACCGTTCAGTTCGCCGTCACCTAAAAGTCAGTTCCTATCACAGTCTCCTTCACCGAAGAATCAACAGCAGCAGCAAACCCATTTCCCGTCAGCATCACCTAAACCTCCTGCAACTCCTTCGCCACTCTCAAGTCCTCCACTGTCGAGCGTTAATCTTAATCTTCAGGGACTTAGTCTGGCAAGTTTGCAGGGGGCCATGGCCAGTATCCCGGGTCTCCAGAACGTTCAGGTGAGTTCAATTAATCATTGTCCTTTTTCCTCACCTTTTGCTGGTGTGGAACTTGATCTCTTGCCATAAATATAGAACATAGTTTGAGGGTTCACCTTCACATACACAGTGATGGACATGTCTACATATACTCTGCCTAACATTATTCCAGTTTTAAACCAGAGGAATTATCCTTTGTATGCGTGGCATCCACCTTTCAGCTCCTTGTTCACTGGTTTCTCACCCATATCGCTGCATATTTATTTTACTGCACATACTACATGTATCTGATGTCTGGATTAACCAAAGCACCGCATACTAGTTACACACTATACACAGAGTCTGTATATAAATAGTTTTATGTAGTATTACCTTTTTTGTGTGGTAGACTAGCTTTTAACTGTGTAATGTATATGTGTATTTTATTCTTGACGTGTATTTTCTTAGTCATTGTTGTTGAATGCATTACACCGTAACTGTGTTGAATATTTTATATTTATATGCAGTCTTGATTCTAAAGTTCACGTTTTTAACACCTGGAGATGGCCCTTGAGCTGAAACGTGTAGTGTAGAGTAAAACCAATGATATTTTAATATATATACTGTGTTGTCTGTGTGTTTGATGGTGTACTATGTTTGTATCATAATACCACAGTAGAATTCTCTCTTATAAGCTATAGTTTGAGGGTAAGTACAAAATGCTGAGTTGAATCTTCAGAACTAACAGAGGAGTTGGGGACAGTTACACATTGAAGAGCTTCATAATTTGTATTTTTCACCAAATATGGTTAGGGTGATCAAATCAAAGGGGTTGAGATGAACATGTAGCATGCACAGGGGAAGCTGGAACATACTCATACAATTTTAGTTTAAAAACCTAGACTGCTAGGGAGACTTAACATAGATGGGAAGGTAATTTAAAATGGATATTAATTAAATGTGTCTGGACTGGATTCATCTGACTGAGGATACAGTCCAGTGTGGGTTGTTGTAAACAGAGTACTGAACCCTCAAATTCTATAAAATGTGTAGAATTTCTTGACTTACGATATTGAGATAATCTTAAAACTTTGCATACCATGTAGTGTATTAGAATATAGAGTAAACAAAACCAACAACTATTAACACTATACTAGACACTATTGCCATATGCGTTTCAAGAGGTCATCATCAGTGGCATCAGGGAATTAATACATATAGTCAAATGGTTACTATATGACTATATGTATTAATTCCCTGATGCCACTGATGATGACCTCTTGAAACGCATATGGCAATAGTGTCTAGTATAGTGTTAATAGTTGTTGGTTTTGTTTACTCGATATTGAGATAATTTATATTAACATAACCTGGAGATTTTAAACCCTCAAACTAAGGGACTGTTGGGTGGACTTCAACTACTAGGTTTCATAGTTAGTGGTATGTTAGTGTGATGCGTGGTGAGTAGGGTTGTGTGTATCAGCTGATGCATGGTTAATAAATGTTAATGTGTCAAACCTTTGATAGGTATTTGTTTCATCTTGATCTGGACAGCTATTCTGAGGGTCACTGTTTTGCTTTACATGTTTTTACTTTGTGTGAATGATGAAAGACTCCCGGGTCGTCGTGAAAGCTTCACTTTATTCATGTGAATGGTTTTACATTGTCTTTAAGTATGTTATAACAGCTTTCCAGTTCAGCTTGTGTAATTATCCGCTCATCTAATTCAACACTAAATAATCACAGCATTTGATACAGCATCATTAATATAATAAATAAGTACTAATTATAAACACTTAACATTTAGCAGGTTTTTGCAGTGGTAACAGTCTTACGAGGTGCGATCGGAAAGTTTC